GACAGATCCGACTTGTGCACGGCATGTAAAGCTGGAACACCACGGAAAAAATAAAGCCCATCTCGCCTCTCACCGGCTCCAATCAGGTTCCTCGAGTGTGGGTCCTGAATAGCACAAAATAAATTAGTGAAAATAACGTTACATGCCAACTGATCAATTAATTGCGAGATAGATATGAGGTGACAATTCAGTCCCGGTACATAAAGCACATGGTCAAGTGCTAATGATTGAGATAAATGTACACGTCCCTCTACTAAGGCAGCTACTGTCCTTCCGTCAGGTAATCCAACCGGACAAGCTTGAATCCGAGTGCGGTGTTCGAGACATGACGCATCACCTGTGACATGGCGAGATGCCCCAGTATCAAGTATCCATGACAAGGTAGAACACGTACCTGACATTCGGTCCCCCGGGCTAGGCTCAAAATCAATCAGTTTCAGTAGAGCCTGGACTTGCTCCGCGGTCAAGCTATCCAGCCCGTTGACCGATCTGCTGGAAGAAGCAGACTCGCTGCCACCCCGCTGGCAGTAGAGCTGGGGATACGGCGTGAGTTCTAGCAGCCCCCCTCCACGGCCAGCGCCCTCACGAGCCCCACCGGTGCTTGCTTTGTTACGATTCCGCTCCTCCCACCACTCCGGATAGCCATGAAGTTTGAAACAACTCCCGATTTCATGCCCTTTTTGTTTACAATGACTACACAGAAGCTTCATACGTTCGGCCCGATCCGGACGATTTTTCGTGACAGCGAACGCATGAACATCAACCACCGGAGCTGGCTGTTTTCCACGAACAATGGCCCTCGAATTTTCTTCTTGAAGAATTACCTGATGCGCACGGTTCAGGTCTGGAACAGGAGTGTGTGAGAGCAAATTAGAACGAGTAGTGCCATACAATTCGTCATCAATCCCGATCAGGAATTGGTGAAGTTTTTCTTCTTCCCGGTCCGCGGCGAATTTCCCAGCGACTCCACATGTGCACAAACCACACATACACGTGTGAAGAGGTTTAAGCCGGCTCAGTTCGTCAAACAAACCCATCAACGTTGTGAAGTATTCATCCACAGACGTATTTTTCTTCTGCCTGCACTGCGTAATAGATGCGCGGAGTTGTTGAAGGCGTGGTCCGTTAGCAACGCTAAATCGTTTCTCCAAATACAACAAAAGTGCTCGGGCCTCTTCATGGAATGGTATGGATACTACCACATTGGCCTCCATGCTTCGCAACAACCAGGAAACTATCATTGAGTTGTTAGTTTCCCAGTCTAGTATTTTCGCCGCTTCAGTCGGTTTTGTGAGGGTTCCATCCACAAAGCAAAATTTGCGTCGTGCTTTTAAAGACAAGGTAATCGCGCGAGACCATCCCACGTAGTTGTCGCCTTTAAAAATCACATGAGTAATAAGATTTCCGGGCTGATCACCGGACCCAAGATAATATGGGGAAGAAAGATCGGCGGCCATGGCAGCCGAGAAGGAAAACGCCGAAGACTCCTAAGACTGCTCTGATACCATGTTGCGGTTTAGACTCGGTATTGGCCAAAGAAAATCATTCCTCCCTTTTCTCAATAGTTTACCAAATATTTATACATAAGATGGCCGAAAAACACAAACCCTTGGCCCAAGAAATAATGCACAAGACTAAATACAATAAAGAATATACAAGCCCAAAAATATAGATCTAACAATTATCCATTCCTCTTTTTGAAAAGAAACTTACTCGAAGAATAACTACAATACACTTTAGTAAAGTATATAGTACTGCTATAATAACAAAACTCTCTTACTTTTTGTACAGTTTACAATAATACTTATCTTAAATTACGTGAAAAGGCAAATGTGACAATTATTTTACTACGAAAGGAGTATAAATCTGATCCATTCAAACAATTTGTTACGGTACGTTTCCACCGCCATTATACACAAGCTCGTGTTGGAAAAATGTGTGAAAAATTGCATTAAATGGCTATTTTGGGGCAATTTTTTGAGTGGGGTCCACTTCCGATTTGGGTCGGGTCAAAGTGGTTTCGGATTGTCCTTGTTAAGGGCTACAATTCGATATATGGTACGCTCAAAACGGATAACGGGTGAATGAGAAATCGCTTTTCGAAGTTTACCCGTTAGAATGGAAAAACTGGGAAAAAGGATGGGTTTCTAGTGTGTTAATTTCCCACACCGGAAAACCCAAGGGATTTGCAACCCTTTATAAAGGGACTCTCCCCTTAAGGAGTTAAGATTCCTAAGGGTAAAGGCTCTCTCCACGCGCGCAGGGGGGGGTGCAAATCAAATCCCGAATTCGGAGAAGAAAAACCGCGACTTGCGTGCGCGGGCGACCTGCGGACACGAATGTCGTCCAAAAATCCATCTCTCAAGAGATACGACCAGAGGTGCTCCAGTTCTGATGGCCTTCGGGCAGATCGAGTTGCTCCGGTTCTGATGACCGCGCATCAGAACTGCTCCAGCTCTGATGGCCTTCGGGCAGAACTACGTAGGGGTCTTCTGAACCGTTACAGCAATAAATGCCCAACGTTTATATCTTTTAATGCAGTGTTAAATGGACAGTTCATGAACAATTCAATGCTCAACGGACTGGTCATTGATGTCCAACGTTCAGGTCCATTAACTCACTATTTTCACACAACAAATCCTCCTATACAAAGGCTGGCAGGTGGTTTGCAACAACGTTCTTACACGAATCCATACACGTTTTAGCTCTAAAAACACACTGCTAGCATTCTGAAAAATTCCTGAGTGTTCAGACTTGTTCTCGTTCGCTGGAACTTTTGTTTGTGTGCTCAAACATTAGTTCGTAGTCATCGTATCCTGGGAAACGATTGTTGCAACGCTCCTAGCACCGTGGGAGGCAACAAATACGTTTTAAGGACATCGTGCGTAGCACGAGCTTTGACTAATTCTGCTTCATCTCCTTTCTTGTTTTTCGCTAGTCATTTTATTTAATTAATTTATTTTAATTAATTTTCTTTATTTTCCGAAACACACCCAACAGCTCGCACATGAAATCGTTCTTTAGATTATCCTCACGTTCCCAAAACACAACTTTCGGGAGAACCGCCACTTATTGGTCAAAACCACCGGATTTCTAGTAAGGAACTAACTCTCACACTACCGCTTGAGACGAGATAAAACAATGATACATGATCACTACAACTATCTATGGGCTAGACTCAAGAGGATAATCAGTTGAGAAAATGCTCTCAAATTCAGCTTCTTGTTGACTTCAATTAAGACCTCCTACATACATGAGAAGGATGTTAAGTGTGAGGTTTAATCCACTTGTATACTAAACTCTTTCTTAAACTGAATTTTGTATGGATGAGGTTGATTAACCAGTTGAGTACTACTGGATATGTTAATAAAATAGTGCCGTACAGAAATTATCTCAACTAAAAAAAGTGGCATGTCATCGAGTCATTGGAGTGTCAATTACTCCGTACGATTTAATCTCAAATCATTTATCAAAGAAGTGAACCAATGTTTGTTGGTACAATGAGTTATTAAAGTCTTAACCCGAGACTTCATATTCAGAGGGTGCGCTTGTGTATTCGTTTCTCTGGGGTGTTTGGTTATTGGCCTATCAGTCATTTTTTTGGCTGTTTTGACCATTATTTGGCTTTTTGACCATTTCAAACAGCTATTTAGATGTTTGGTTATTAAGCTTTTCCTATTGGCTTTTTATGTCAATCAGCCAAAAATAAAAAAGCTAAGTTTAGTAGCGTTTTGCACTTAAGCTATGTTTGGCACACAAAAGACTCTAGCTTCTAGTTTCTCTATTTTTTAAAAAGACCTTAAAAGACGCTTGTTGTATGTTTGGCATGACATTTTTAAGAGCTTTTCAAAAATTAAAAGATCTTTTTTGAGATGCTACTGAGTGTAGCATATGAGAAAAGCTCGTGACTTTTAGTATTAATTAGTCCTAACAGCTTGTATACCAAACCGAACTAAATCAAACAGTCAGCTTTTTACCAAACAGCTATCACCTTTTCTTTTTAAGATTTTTTAGTCATTAAAAGCTAACAGTTACTAAAAAGCTCGTAAAAGTATCTTTTTAGCTAGGTGTGCCAAACATACCCTTAGCCGTTTCACTTTGTTCTCCAAAAATACATATTTAGCCTTATCCTTTAAATGACAGTTTTCTGATGCATATAAATGATACTCCGTAGCTCCCATCTTCAACTTGGGCGCAGGCAACTTCTAATTTTTAACGAAAGGAGAATTCAATTCCATATCTAAAAGTCTGAAGATCCCCGTTAGTGACAACATTAACAAAATTTAACAATGAATATTATTCATTTTTAATTTATTACTACGGGTATTACTTTTTTTTAACTTTAATGAATACTAATAGTTTAGGATAATATATTAAAATCATATTTTTACACAACTTTTGTTGTATATATATTATTACTTATAATTCCAATATTAATCAAAGTATCATCATATCGTACTACTTTTAATTACTTGCATGCGTTCGAATCATGAAATTTGAAAGTCAAATACGGAGTAGTTTATTGCACACCTTAGTTAGGTAGTTTTGGATATAAATTTCAAAATAGGACTATCATGTTTTTATTTTTCAAATAGGAGTAATTTTGTCAAGTTTGACATTATTGGGCATACATTACTCCTGTTTAGGGAATAAAAACATGGAAGTTTCATTTTGGAATTTCAAAACGTTTTTACTTCTATTCAGATTAATTTCTACTATTTTGTTCTCACAACATAAATATATCACAATTATGACGAACGTACGTTGTCACAAACATGGGCAGTTTTACTAATGAAACAAATCCCACTAATCCCATTAGCCCAATAAAAAAGTACGTAGACCATGAGTCGTGCCCCCAATAAGCATGTAACTTTGTTCACAATAGCCTAATAGAAATACTCTGTACCAGAGAATTGCTAAATGGATTTAGAAGTGTTTGAAATTTTGAATTTAATCACTCACATCAATTTTGTTTCATTTATCAAATATCAACAAAACGTAAAGGATAAACATTACGTAGTAGTAAATAGCAATGGCTAGACAGTTAATTATGGATTGGATTTAACTGTTAAATCCAATCCATATTTTGAAGTCTAATTGTCATACATATTTGCTTCAAATGAAAAGGGGTCTTTCTAGAACAAACGCAGTGTTCAAAATATGAATGCGTTAGATCAACTCAACATTGAAAAAAAGTGGTGACAAAGCTGTAAACATTTGAAAGTTTAATGTGCATCGCAACGTTTAATTCTTGGGTGTATCGTGTGTATAATAAGTTTTTAGTTGGATTGTTTTCAGTTCCAAACCAAACAAGACTTAAACAGATCAGACCAGACCCGACCGACTTAAATAGACAAGATCAGACCAGATCAGTAAATTACAGACTTACAGTCTAAGTAAAAACATCCTAAATGTGCATTCACGCATGCTTAACACTTTGTATCACAATCTTAAAATTATAATCCGTAGAATTTATTTATATATATAGATGCATTTTTAAATTTTACACATGTATTTTTAAGTTACACAAAAGCACAGATTCGTTCTTCATAATTGAGATAACGCCACCGTGTGTGAGAATTAGTATGATTTTTTACTATATGTAACCCATAAGTTAATCCACTTATCAGCCAACTTTTTTACTATAATGGTTGGGGTTGTTGGATGTTAAGAGGCCGTTTGACAACACTGTTTTTCGGCTTATCAGCCAACTTTTTCATCAAACACATAACTTTTGCTTTCATGCGCTGAATTGTGTAATAAGCAGAAAAAGTAAGGTTATAGTTACTTTTCTGTCTGTATTGGCTGAAGTTACTGTAGATGGTAATTTTAGCTATTTTTACCTACAGAGTATAATTTTTTCTCATTTTATTAATAAAATATATTTTAAAAATAATTTTTTTTTCTTAAATCAGCAGAATCAGTCAATGCAGCCACTTCAGCCAGAACTTCATATATTTAAGCAGAATCAGCCAATATAGCCGATTTTCGTGCTAGCAAAAGGGCTCTAGTGATTCACATGTTTGTGATTTTGTGCTGCTTAATTGTGCATTTGCAATGCGGCATCTAATAACCAACGATTTGTGTTGGATTATTGCGGCAAAACTTGTGGTATATGATGTTCAGCTCGTTCTTCATTTAGATATGCTATTTTTACAATGATTTAACCTCTGAATTTTGTACATGTAACCTGTGTTGCACCGATACTTCACCCCGATGCCGTATCCGCGTATCCGATACGTATCCGTATCCGATACTCACCGATACACGTCATGTACGTATTGGGTCCGTATCCGTAATTTTATAAAAGTATCGGGCTTAATTTTAAAAATAACGATACTTCCGATACCCGTATCCGTGAACTGATACATGTATCTCACCCTATAACCCCTCATTTGATACATGCCATGACAAAAATTTAGATGTGGAACATTGATAAAGATGGTTTCGGGAGTATGGAAAATAATGGAATACTATAATTTGTCATTTCATCGCTTGATGAACTTTAATTGAAACAAAGCTTAGATGTAAATGCAAATAGAGAACAAAAAAATGTTATTTGAATTTAAATCAAAATATCAGCACTTTTGTTTTTTTAGCCTAATCTTTGAAATTTTATTATAATGGTTAATTTTTTGTACTATTATTATTTTATTTATGAACCCCTGAATTATATACTACGTATATATTTGCAAATTATACCCTATATTTTTATTATTTATAAATATTCCCCCGTACCCGTATCCGATAATTTTTTAAATTGCCGTGTCGCGATACCCGTATTCGCGTATCCACGTATTGGCGTATCCATATCTGTGCAACATAGCATGTAACATCACGTAAAACTTCCTTTGTAGAATTAAAATATCCAGCAGCCAAACCAATATTTCTTCCATTGCCTGCTCTTCTTTATGAACCTCAACCTACTCTCACTTTGTGCCATTTTCACCGGGCTTTCATAGAAATCGGACGTTAATCTGTTCACCATGGCAAAAAGAGCAAATGGAAGAAGAAGAAATAAAACTTTTAGACACAAAACAGAGAAGAACAGATCAAAAAATTAAAGTACGTCAAGTAATGAGGAAGAAAAAACTACTTGTCCAAGAAAATTGTACACATTTTATATACTTTCAATTCAAGTTGCCTTTATACATGGGCAATTAGGCGTGTTTGCACAAAATGTGTACAAATTTCGTGTACAAGTATGAAGTAGCACGGCTGAATGAGGAATTGACGACAGATGGAATACTTGCATAGGAAAGACGAAGGATTGGGCGCTTGCAGCGCTTGAGCGAAAAGAAGAGCAGTCGTGGTTCGATGAGACCGTGAGTGGTCCATGGAGCGGACTATCTGCGGATGGAAATGGTTCATCTTCTGCACTATGCATACCAAATAGTGCTCCCAGGCTACTCTTTTGCACCTCACTTGTTTCTGTTTCCCCCTTTTGCAGTGTCTCGGTTTGACCCGCTAAACCGTGATCGTGTATCACGGTTTGAACGTCACCGGAATCATTTATCTTAGTGTCGACGCTCTTGTTTTCATCGACAAACCGCTACAACATCAGAAGCCCGTGAAATATCTTATACTCCGCATGTTAGTTTGTATTTTTATATTTGATCGGTAATTCGGTATGATATGCATTAACTTGTACCTGATTAGAATGAAGGTTGCCGATAACAATGTCATGTGAGCCAGAGATGTTGGCATCATGAATCATTCTTTCCTTGTCTGTCTCAAAGTTTAGTAGACAGAATATGATGTCATGGTCCAGCTCACAATTGTCAACAGAACATTTTCTATGAGAATGCTCTTCTTTTTCACCTCCAATAATAATGGAACTTCCCTGACCTTCTTCTCCCATAATAATGGAACTTCCCTCACATAAGTGATAGTTGCACTTGTCTTGGAAACTAACAGCTACTTCTGGGATTTCAACCTCCGTCATATGTGTCTTCTATAACGCTTAAAGTTACAATCTGTACAGTTTAATCGTTTTATGTCAACCTCCAATTAATCATTTATAAGCCACTTCTAATTTCGCCTTGGCAATTTTATGTCAACGTTTTTACAAAACAAGTAAAAAATGGTTTCACTTCCTAAATTGTGTCATAATCATAATAAATAGGGTCGTTGTTGGTGTACACAAATTATACATTATCTGTGTATACAGACATTTTGGCATAAAATATTGTAGTTTTTCAAACGAACTGCATGTGTAGTCAAGCAACTAGGGGGTTTTGTGTACACTTTGTGCACTAGTTGTGTAACCAAGCATTTTTCTAATAAATATGATAGAAGTATGTTTCTCATTGAATTGGATGAATGCTTATTTTAGCTATTTTCATATAGATATTTTTTAATTTTATTAACAAAATATATTTTCATAATTCAATAAATTGGGCCAATTAAACCACGTCAGTTTGAAACTTGTGAGTTTCAAGAGGTCTATCGGATACAATCAAATTTTAATGTTACCAAATACGATAGTATGTGTTAAGAGAGAATTTCCAAAATAGAATTAAAGCATGTGGAGTAAAACTTTATCCTCAATTTTTCTGGCCACAAACTAGCAAATTATACACTCAATGTATACATACCAATAGATCTTTACATTTTTTTTTTGAAGTAAATAGATCTGATCTATACTTAATTATAGGTTTATATGGACATCAAATTCTGCGCATTATTTTAAAGCCTTGAAAACAAATCAATAGAAGATGGGAATAAAATTCAAGTTGAGGAATCACACATACAGATTTAGATGATGATGATTGATTGCAGACGAGCTCTTTTTAGAATACGAGAATGCTGCTTCAGCGGAAGACCCGTCCGGCCTCCGTCCCAATGCACTGCCTAAAATATAATTGGAGATAAGTGTAATAAAAACCCTGTAAATTATTGTTTGGATGAGAAACTTCATTTTATGGCAAGGAATAAAGTTAAATAAAGCAAATTCTTGATTTGCTGTTAGGCCAATTTTGTAATACGTAAGCTTAGGTGCATGTGCATATACATAATTTGGTTCAAATAAGAATATAACTTAGAATATTTTTAATTGGATTATAATTTTGTGGTTTGCTCCGTTTTAATCTGGTTTAGTCTAAACTGACCTGGTCTAGTCCAATAAATGTCGGTTCTATGTAAATTTATAAATGTAAAAGTCTGATCTGGTCAGATCTAAATTCTGAACTAGCTAATCTAGTCTGGGCCTGAAATCAGCCCAATTAAAAAAATGAATATGTACACTTTGAAATTAAATGTATATTAACGTGATCTGATAAAAAATGCAGTGACATTTTTGTAAATAAAATGAACTTTTTATGCTATTACAAAATGTGCATTATCTTAACAAGAAACGTGCAACTTGCTCCATCAGCCTCAATATGCACCGTTTTGCATCATTCTCATTTATCACGAGACGAACCTTTCTCGTCGGAACTGGACTCTACATATGTACACACACATGTATTATGTATAATACTACATATATATGAATTATTATATATGTGTGTGTGAACATACATACATACTATATGTAGTATATTAATATAGTATATTCATATATATTTTATACTCCGTATATGAGAATAATTTCAGTGTATTGAATTTGAATCTAATGACTTAAAAAGTACTACCTTCATTCCATATTCATCTGCATAGTTAACTTTGATTTGGGCTATGTTTTGGCACAACAAGCTGGAACTGAAGACTAATGTCTGAATTAGTGGCTATTGTCTGAATGAAATATTATTGTCTGGAACTGAACTTTAAAGTGCTGAATCTGAATCGCTAGCTGAATGAAGTAGACCTGTTTGGCAAAAAGAGCTGAAAATGTGCTAGGATAATATGAAATTACATTAAAGGGCATATGATTTATTAATAGATTAAAATATTTATTATAGTGATTATTATATTCCACCCTTTTAATATATGTGTGCGTGTTCAAAGCAAATGGGAAGAGAAGAAATTAACCAACAAGAAGAAGAACACACTAGGGACGAGTGAATTTATATCGTACCTTACAACAACGAATCAGATGAAAAATATCTAAAAGGCAGAAAAGGTGATTACAATAGGGAAGGAAATTGTTGATGATGGCCCTCTTTGCCGCCAAAGAATCTCGGATATACGAGCGGCCGGCACGGGGTACTTCGGGGATGGGAAGATATTATACAGTCGGCTTAATATATAGAAACGCTAGACTTGCAAACGTTTTGATTCAGCCTGGTTTTTACACTTTCAGCCTCGTTTAGACTTGCCTCCAAACAGGGCTACTTCAATAACCATTAGCTGAAATTAACGAATTTCAGCACATAATTGGATGAAATGCATTGCCAAACATAGCCATAGCCTTGGTCAAACCGTTTCATTTTATTCACAAAATTAAGATATCAATTTTTAATTATATTCTAATTTGGATTTTGATGTAGTTTTTGAATACGTAAATTTTAATTATTCAAATTGATTTAATTATCAATAGTGAGGATTTAACTTTATCTTCGGTTAACAAAAAAATGTTGATTTTGAAAAATAATTTGGATTGGAGAGAGTATTAACAATGCAATATACTTCGTAATTGATAAAAATGCATTGATATTTAGGCAAAAAAATGCAATACAATTTCATTGATGAAAATGCAATACAATTTCATAAATATTTGTTTTTTTCATCGGAAAAAAAATTATTGTTTAGGCAAAATAGTACAACATAGAGCATTGAAAGTGTAATTATTCAATTTGTCACATTAAACTCTCATAGTCTCATTTCATTTGAACTTACCTTATATGTACATATTTTTAGAAGGAAAAGAAAAACAAAGAACAAAAACCAAGCACAACTAACAACAAGAAAGAGATCACCCAATTTCATTGAGATCTAGTTCTCATAAGATGTAATTGGTAATTCATTTTCATGTATATTTTTAATTATTTAGGGGGTGCTTGGAACTGATTCTGCTTCTGCTTCTTTTTAAAAGCAGAAGCAGAATCAGAATCAATTTTTGTAGAAGCTGGGACCCCCAGCTTCTACAAAAACTGATTCTGAGAGTAAATTAGAGCTCCAGAAGTGCTTCTGGAATTTCACCCAAACACTCTAGCTTCTGCTTCTGCTCCATGAAGGAGCAGAATCAGTTTTGAGAATCAGATCCAAACACCCCGGCCCCTTAGATTCTCTTTAGGCAATCAATTTTCTCTCATTACTAGCAAAGTTTTATAGTTTTTTTTTATTTATTTGCTTCAGAATCCCATATATTCTTCCAACACCAAATTAGGAACCCTCTTCTCGTTCTTCAAGATATGATCCATAAATCAATCACCTGAGTATGAATTCAAAGGATTGCCATAAGCTCCCTAACACACAAAATCTTTAGAAAGATACTCTAAGCTATTATTTTATTCAGAATATCAGTAGCTTCCCCTTCATCAGTAGGTCTTATATTCAAACTATCTCGATTTTAAGAATTCTTTAAATAAATAATAAAGATTATTAGAGGCACTTTCTAGCTAAAAAGCGCCTCCATTGTGGATTTGCGTCACATTTGCCGGAGGCACTTCGAAGCGCCGCGCGTGCCCCAAAAAAAGCGCCTCTATTTGGCGTTTTTCCACTAGTGAGAGTCAAATGCAGGAGTTTGCCCATAAGTGTTAATGCCATTAATCGTAGTCAACTCTGGTGAGTTATCAAAAGAATCAAAATGCTCAATATCAGCTTGAAGTAAGATTCCGGGAATGGAAAGTTATGTCTTCCGTATGTCCCAATCCAACCAATGAGTGACGAGTAGAAGACGCCCCTCGAAATCATCCAAACTAATAATGCTTAATAAAACCTCCCATGCGTGCACGCATATAGTTTGTCCGATTGCGTTGTTGTTGATTGGTATCTAGTTGTTTCATTAAAGGTATTTGCTTTTGTTATCATTTCCAGAAATTATTATTTTTACCTCGGAAGGCTTTCCAGAAATTATTAGTAGACAAGGAATATCATATAGACGAGTATTGAAGACTTGGTGTATTATTCGAGCGACTCATATTTACTACTCCCAAAAGTTTGGAATGAGTTCTTCAGAGTTCAAAATCAATCCGAAAAACAGGGATCACCTTAGTAAGAAAAATGTAAAAGACATAATTGTATAAGAGGTATTTGTATGGATTCATTATAAAGCATATCCTGATCCCATAAAACAATATATAAGTGTTTTTAATGCATTTTGAGATTGCTTTAGGATTAGAATTAAGGCCGGCCGGTGGGTTTTAGGGGTAGGATAGCCATGCACGCTACATATTTACTTCTAAATGATGTTCTTCCATTCAAGATTTAGGATCTTGCGAATGACCACATTATATATATCTTGCCATGGAGATGAGTTAATTAACTTCATCTTTAATAATTTGTAAGTTTTCGATAAGTGTCAAAACAAGGGTGGTTCCAAATCTCAAATGGAGTATCCGATTAAAAGAGTTAATAATGACAAATCATTGAGATGTCTTATTGAAAATTACCAGGTTAGCAATAATTCCTTTTTTACCTATTTGGTACAACTACCAATAATTTTATGTAATGATTTATTATTTTATATAAGAGTAATTCAAGATTTTATATAGTCATTTATTATTTTATTCCAATTTAGTATCAGAAAAATACTGAGCATAATAATAATTGTGATTAGTATGTCAAATAGCTAGCTGCCTAAAATTAGACTAATATTTGAAATATATCTATGAAATACTCCATAATAATGTAAATCAAGTAGATATAAAGTTACGTCTTCCCTTCATATAAATGCGAAAATGGTGTAATTCAAGATTTCATATGATGATTTATTATTTTATTACAATCTAATACTACGTATGTGACGAATATTTCAGCAATGACGGATTTAAATTTTGTTCATGGTGCTAAATAGCAATATAAAAGATTAACCATAAAAGGGGTAATTAGAGATTCTATATAATGATTTATTATTTTATTCCAATTTAATATGAGACAAATATTTGAGCAATAAGAAGATAGTAATTGTATTTACAGTTTCAAATAGTCACCCAAAATATGACTATTATTTTAAATGTAAATAAACTATGTAAACGGTTGCTTCGGTTTCCATATAAATTAATTGTGGAAAAAAAGATTTATTTTAAAACTAAAATTTTATTTATTTTAAAAACATAATTACTTGTGTTATACACTTATACTATCTCTTTCAAAATAAATTTACCATAATAATCCACCGAAGTAGCGTGGTTGGAAAACCGTGCGACGGACACTAGCGACCGCTGCATGTTCCTCATCAAACGAGGCATCAACATTCAACTTATAATCCATAAAAGTTGTGTTGTGTTCTTGGGAGCTGGTATTATTTGTGTTGTGAAGAGGCATAATTTGAAAATGTGGAGGTTACATAGATGGTTGACCTCACATGTAATAATTTGGAAACATTATAGGATAGTAAGGTGGAGGTTGGGATGAAGAAGTTTGTGGAACACCGGAAAAGGGATTAATTAGGAAATCGGATTGGCTTTGTTGAGGAAAAGTAGTTTGCCCCTGTAGGAGAAATATGTAAGGTATTTGTCGAGGGATTCAACAAGAAGGTTGACCATACCCAAACCATGGGTATGGGTTCATTTGTTTTGGACATCACTCCACTACATTATCCGTGACTTTATCAATGCAGTCTTGATCGGAGGAGACACAATGTGTAGAATTTAAAGACCCCATGCTCAATAGCTGTGGGACGAGCTTAGAGAGCCCAAGAGCATAAGCCTTCCCCAATTGGGTTGCATAGTTTTAAAAAAAAGTGCATTCTTATCAGCTATTAATGTACCCGGCCCTTGTGTCTGTTGGAACTCCTATACATGGCCGATCACAGTACAATGCAACATCTTTTCTAGCTTTTAAATTGTCTTTTGTCCTTTCTTTGTCGTTCATTATACAAATTGTCAAACACTTTTTTCAATGTGCATAACATCTAAATTATGTCTAACTTATAAACTTTCTCAATATGGGGGTTGCAAAAATGTTCTTTTTCATTCATTTGTGATCAATGCCCTAACCCAGGGGGTTATTCATTAGGATCCTCAACAACAGTTGGTATCATAGCTACAAGAGAAATCGTTGAAGGCCTGACAATCTAGATGGAGGGCAACTAAGTTCTTCTTTTTCCTTTTTAAATGAAGGAATGTCCCTACGATATAGTGTTGTTGTGGTAGAATTTTTTATGACAATCAAAGTAACAAGGCTTAAGTTCACATTTAAGCCACATTGCTTTGTTTCCCTACATACAAATAAGGCATCCTAAAAGTCCTGTTGTGCTCCAACCACACAACATTCCATATGCGGGAAAGTCGCTAATTATCCACATTAAAATGGCATGCATTGAAAACACGAAATTGTCTACAATGTGATACGTTACTATACCCTCATCCCACAAATGTTACAGTTTATCGAGAAGCGGTTGCAGATATATATCTATTTTCTTTATCGGGCATACTTGTTTAGGAATCATGAGAGACAAAAACATGAAAGGATATTTCACGCATATACAGGGGCAAGTTGTACATCGTAAGAATAACAAGCCAATAGAAATACAATGTACCATATTGTCCATGGGCTGCAAAACCATCATAACATAAACCAAGATGGACTTTTCGAAGCTCAACTGAAAATCCCAGATATGTATTATCAATGTGTTTCCATACTTCACAATCACAAGGATGACCCATTAGAGTTCGGATTGCCTCATGTGTTGCATGACACCTCATCGCTTCGGCTGTTTGATGTGATGTGTACAACCTGTGCAATTTTGGTATTTAGGGCAAATATCTCAATACAGACACAACAGTCCATTTTCGTTTTTACGTTTTACGTTGTTTTTACTCCGTAAGAAGAACAACACATTAACTCTTTATCGCAATTTCAAAACAACATACACCCATTTGGACAAACATCAATATTTATCACAAGAACCCAACTTTGAAAAAGGTTTTTTGGTCTCATAGTAATTACGTGGGACCATGTGGTCACGAGGTAAGTATCGATCAAATAATTCCAACCACCTATTTACTTCATTCTAAGGTAAATTAAAAATTGATTTTATACTCATTACCACAGTGGCGAACTGTAATTGAGAGCCTTCTAGACATCCTTCATATAAAAGTTGATATGCTGCTTGTAGAACATCGTGGAATTGGTACTCCAAATATGATACTTCATTTACATTTGGTGATCCATTATTGTAATTTGCATCTGTGGTTTCTAGAATATAGTTTGTGGTGGGTGGTTGTTGCACGTATCCTCCAAACATATATCCAACCACTCTTTGATCCCTGGGTATGTCATCATGACTTCCAGAAAGGGGGAAGGGCATGCTACACGATACGCGATTTCTTTGAGTGTAGTGATAAACGCAACGATTCATAAGATGTATTTGTTCATGTCGAAGTTAGTTTATAAATATGGCCGAGCATAGTGATGGCTTGGGTAACAACCGAATGGCTTTGTGACGGAGCACAGACGACTCAGAGACGGAACTTGGCAACCCACTTTAGCGACAATAATTTTAATTGGTTGTCAATAATTCGTCGCTAATAGTGTCGGAAATTACCTACGGTTTTCTCCATCGCTGCTTATGCTTAGCTATTTCGGCATCCTTTTGTAGTGGTAGTAATTGCAACAAAAAATAAAAATAACACTCATATAATAGTAACAATAATGACCTATATTAATTTAAGTTATAATTTTATTGGTATTACTTGAAATAATAATAAAAATAATTCTAGCAATACTACAATTTCTTAAGTGTACAATAATATTTGCCAAAAAAAGTATATTGTAATAGGGATATTTCCCTAAATAGGATTAAACAAGTTTTGGAATTTCAAAATAGGATTACTATATTTTTCTTCCCAAAATAGGACTCATTACTGTCATTGAAAAATAGTTCATTAATTGCCTTGTTAATGGATCATATTTTGAGGGGGGGTGGGGAGGGGATATATCAATCTTATTTTGGAATTTCAATAATAATAATAATAATAATAATAATAATAATAATAATAATAATAATAATAATAATAATAATAATAATAATAATAATAATAATAATAATAATAAGCAGTACTCCATATCATATAGTGAATTATTTTGCGTAGTAAATTTGGAGCACAAATTTAGTGAGAGGTAACACATTTAAAATCCTGATAAATTCTTATTCTTTTTATGCTTCTCTATTGAAGTATTTTCAATTTCCAAGAATGTGATTTACGAATTTTAGAAAGAAATTGTAAAAAAAAACCTATGTAAAAGAAAGAGTCATATTATTATAATCGTGCATACCTAGTGACTAGTGTTTCTAATAAAATAAATAAAAAGCAATTTCTCCAATGTACTAGGAAAACACCCTGATTATAAAAAAATATTAAATTGTGAATTAAAAAGCTGCATAAAGGGCAACATTTAGGAATTTGGATTCAATTGGATTGAATAGTAATTTTATTATGCTTAAGCATTACAAGAGTGAGCTCAATATGAAAATGAAAAAAATGTACACGAACAAAATTGAAAAAAATTAAGTTGGTTTGGACTTCAGCCAAATTCTCCCGTGCATCTAGCTAGAGTTTTGTAAGATTCGGTTAAATTTGTTTAAATGTATTCTCGTGAAGTTTGATTTGGCATTAAATTACATGATAGTTTGGAGATAGGTAAAATTATGAATACATGTTTTCCTTAATTTCCAAAGTAAATGATTTTTTGTTCTATCACATCACATATATATGCATTCTTGATTTCTTGTGTGAATAATGAAGTATATATCTGTAGTACCCAATCTTAATAGTTTGTAATAAAAAATGTTTAATTAGATTACTATTCTAAATCCATGCCGGCGAGGAAAGAAACTGCTAGTTCTTGATATAGACCACACTCTATCTGATCATACAACGTCAGAAGACCCCATGAGACCATGTACGTTTTCCTTTAATTTTGTGCTTAATTAATTAATGATTTACTTGAGGCTGTATCAAGGCCATTTATTATATATCAGGGAATCATAATATATAAAATTTACAGATCTACATGAATTTCTCTCGGTCACTTACGCAAAGTATGATATCATTATCTGGTCTGCATCCAGGTTAAATTCTAGACTTGGAATGAACTAATTTGATACACTTATCAACGTAATGTAACCAACTCAATTGAATTAGAAAATGATTGTTGTAAACATTTTTTGTGGGGTTGCACAAAAACTTAGACAAACAAGTGTGTCAAATGTGTACACAAAAACATGTACACCAAGCATGACTCATTGAATTAAATAAATGTCATATACACCCTCCATCCGTCTGAACCTTGTCAAGTTTAACTGACATGAGAAATAATAATGTAAAAATTGTGTGATTGAGGTTTATGCAGAGGAGAGAGAAATCATATGAACCATAAATTCTTTGTTTAAAAGAAAAAGTGACAAAATTTTTTAGACAACCAAAAAAAGGAAAGATGACAATGATAAGGGACATAGAGAGTATAACATAATATATTTGAGCAAATTAGAACGATGTTAATGTACACAAGCCCAATTGACTAGCTAGCAGACTATTAAGTCATTTGTCATGTAACAATGTTAACAATGTGCACGATGGCATGAGAGAGATAGACACCGAAAAATAAGTCATTTACATTTCCCTTTCTTTCTTTTCTCTATTTTATATAATTTTGGTAACTTTTTCACAAGAGTGTCAACCACAATGTCGATATCAGACATCCGTGTTGACATTATGGATAATAACATACCAAAAACATATAAGACTTTTCAAATAAGGAGAGAGATATATTGTTCATTAATGTTTATGTGTCTATCTATCTTATGTCATATGTGCACCGTGCACATTGTAACATTTGATTAATAAATAAATGTACCGAATTAAAAGTGTCATCATCGCATATATAATCTTTTGTAACTAAACAGTGGACTTTTGTGTGGGATGCATTTCTCAATGTTCCCTTTCTTGAATTGATTGTAGAATGAAGAAGATTAAGTCCAAACTAGAACAACTTGGAGTTATTAATAGCCCCAATTATAATATAGTCACACTTCTTGATCGTAAGGCAATGTTGATGACTAGCAACATAATAAAAGATCGTGACAGTGGCAGGTCATTTACTACTTGCAAGCCCTTACATCTAATTTGGGCCAAATTTCCAGAGGTTCGTTATCAACTTATATTCTGTTAATTCAATACCTGCTCCGTGCAAGGAGAGAAATAAGAGTGATCTAAGTGCACAAACAATTTAAAATTTTATACAATGCGCACTCAAAACACATTTCAACTCTTCCCTCTATTGAAGAACATTTTGAATTGAATATCAAGCATTTTAAAGGAATGGGAGTTTTTATTTGACTTCCTGAATGACTCTTTATGTTTTTACTAAGAGTAAATACGAAGTACAAAGTATTATTTTAGAGTACATTGACACCGTGTGTGTGTTTGACATTGTCTCATACTAACTACACAAGCAGTACTACTTTTCTTTTTGTCCGTCTCATTAAGCTTGTTCTATACTTCCTCCTTTCTTCTTTAGTTGCAACATTCCTTTTTTCACGTTTGCCGATGCACAACTTTGACCGTCATTATATTCAATTATCTGTTAGTAAAAAACGTTTAAAATCAGATTATGAAACTTTTGTAATGAGATGAATTTAAAGATATTTTTCAAAAAAATAATTCGCATGCATTAATAAATAAAATGTAGTCAAAGTAGAGTACATGAATAGTGTGTAAATTCCAATGTTGCAACTATTATGATACGGAGGATAGTATTAAATTTGGTAATTGTGTGGTTCTAAATTGTTTTTTTCTCTTGATTATATTTATCAATTTAATATCAACTATATAAAATAACTTATTACAACACCTCCTCGTGTACCAAATAAGGAATAGATATTTTATCTAGGGACGTCTAAAGTAGGAAAAAATGATATTCTTTAACGGACAAAGGGATAATATCTATGCCTTTTTCAAAAGAAAATTACATCTGAATAATTAAATATATTGATAATTAAAGTCGTGGTTTGACAAAATTAATTAGAACGGTAGGCAGGGTATCTTGATTCACTTACAAGCACATTCGATCATTTCATATTTTATTTATTCATTTTCCCTTATAAATCATGTATGCTACAGTTTTACGACCCGAGAAACACTATAATGGTGGATGATATGGAGAAGAACTTTAAAATGAATCCACAGAATGGTCTGACCATAAAGGCATTCTGGAAGCACAACTATGCTAATGATGAGGAACTCTGTAAACTTGCCCAATATTTGCTTGCCATTTCTGAACTTGATGACTTAAGTTCCCTCGATCACAAATGTTGGGAGAAATATTTAACGAAGGTTACACAAAAAGGAAATATTCTTCCATCTTATCCCAAGACCTGCCCCACATGTTTTTCTACTACTAATAATAATAAAATAGGCAGAATTTTGAAAAATTTATATACAAAAGTTTTTCTATGTTTCCCTTGGTTTATTGTACATTTATGTCCTTGCATCGTTACAAAAGAGAGATAATGAAACTCCCTACATTTATGTTTCCCTTGGTTTTCCTATATGACTCCATTATTGATATTAAATAGAGTTACTATTACATGGCATCCCATGAAACTCCCTACATAGAGTTTCGAACTCGAGACATGTTATATCACTTATATGGGAAAATGAACCGCTTCTCTAATGAGAAGGTTTAGAGAAGAGTAGTATTGGAATAAGAATTGAAATTATGTGTGTCACAAATAATATGAGTGTATGACCGATGCACCAAATAAAAGTTTCTGCAATACAATTAACTCTAACAAAAAATGTACTACGTAGTTTATTATGTAATAACCTACCAATACCATCAAATTATAATTATTACAAAGGTTCTGTCTGCTTTCTTCTAGAGTGCATAAACAATGGTAGAGCTCGTCCTCCTCCAGAACCACCTCTGTACCATGAAGAATTTTGTGGGCTCCCAACCCGTCGCGGGGGCTGATGATTTCTGCAAAAAAGGGAGGATGTTGGAGCTTGTCTGTGGTGATCAAGATTCGACTTAATTTACACGTTTTTATTTATTTCTTTTGGTTGTTGGTTTCCAAGAACATGGTTGTTTCCGTTTCTGTTGTTTTTTGTTTGCGAACTCTTACATTAGGTGGGGATGATGATTCTGCTTTAACCATGATAGGCTCGTGTAGACCCGTTATAGGATCAGCGAATCATATTGCTCTGTCTAGGGTGATTGGTTCTCCGGCTGGTTCGAGGGTTGATGGCTGGGAGTGGTTTCTTTATCTTTGTTATGCCTCGCTGAATGTTCTTTTATCAATATAAGCCGCCTTTTTCCACAAAAAAAATATTATTACAAAGGTATTATAGTTCAATTATGTATTTCATTATTTAATATTTATCAATTTAATTATGTATAAATGTATAATATTTATGGACTTGCCATACTATAATTACAAAACCATCTGCACCACGTATCTAGTATTTATGATGACAAAACAATGCACCATGGAAAACAAATGTACCAGTCATATATCATTAGAAAATTAATAATCAAAGACTTTCTAATTAAAATAAAAGTTTAGGATCAATATTCAAATTAGAAATATTTTCTATATAACACAAAATCATAAATAAACCAAGAATTCAAAATGCTCTCTACTCAAAATAAATTGCTATTCAAATAACCTTAGAGAGCCTGAAGTGGACTTCTTGAGGCCGGAGACCTAAATGTCATACTTTCTCATTATATTTGAAAGATGATGAGATAATGTATTGATTTATCAAATGAATGGCCGCTTTCATACAATTTTGTAATTGTGTTTAAGATATGTAACTTTAATTTCTGTGGAAGTTCTTTTTAATGGTATTGAGTTACAAATATTAACACTATTGGTGTGTCTGGTCGTAAGTTTATGGTCACATCCAATGCCGTTTGTGGAGGTATTGGCCTATGGGCTAAGATAGCCCATCTCCCACTTGTGTTTGGCCCAGCTGTGTTCGATCCTTTAGTTTTTGTCCAACCCAGTTGCCTAGCTCTTGCACCCATGTTGCTCGCTTCTGGAACCATCGCCTAGGGTTGATTGCATTGATTTTTGAGTGTTCATATTTTTAGTTTTAATTACTTTTCATGGTGTGTTGTTGTGGTAATTGCACATTTATGGTGCAATCATTTTATTTTTCTAGTTTGTTGTAATTTAGTAAATTTAGAATCATCTTGAGCAAGAATCAATCAAGAATCAACAAAGGATCATGGAAGGGATCTTACAAGATCAAAGGAAAGTGCAAGGGAACAAGAAATCATGCAAGAAATGTGATTTGGTGACTTACCCGGTCAGTATAGCCTTTACCCGGTCGGGTATGAAGTGACCCGGACAAAAAGACGTGCAGAAAACACAAAATCGTGGGCAAAATATTTGATTTTGACAAATACCCGGTCGGGTATCTCAAATACCCGGCCGGGTATCCGGTGCAGCACCTTCAAAACACCTATAAATAGCCCCATTTTTCTTCACTTTTAATCACTCCTTCTTCCATACTCTTAAGCTCAGTTTAGAATAGTATTTCTTTTATATTTTTATAGCATATTTAGTCTCCAAATGAGGAGCTAAACTTCCATTTCTTGGTGTTGCTCTTGAAGCTTGTTGATTATTAAAGTTGTGAGTTATTTTCTTAACTTATTCCCTTGAATATTAATTATTCTTTTAATCTATCTATATATTAATGTTGGGGAGTGTTGCTAAGATGACAATTAGTTAACATCTCGACATTAGTTATAGTAGTATTTATTTTCTTCCTCTATATATTAATGTTGGGGAGTGTTGCTAAGATGACAATTAGATAACATCTTGACATTAGTTATAATAGGATTATTCATATTTAATCTTCTTCCTTGAATATTAATTCTTCCCTTAATCTATCTCTATATTAATGTTGGGGAGTGTTGCTAAGATGACAATTAGTTAACATCTCGACATTAATTACTACTAAAAACGATCAACGAACCGATGGTTTCACAAGTAAGTAACTTCGGTTTATTAATGCACGGTCGTGGTTAATAAACTTAAGAGGGATTAATTTTGTTGGTTAAACCGAAACCGTTGTGTTGAGGTTATCAATCTCAATTGATTTCATCAAGGAGTTAAGAGATTAAATGCTACTATTAAGTCGGTATATGGCGGTGTTCTATACTTGACTAATAGTAAGGGTTATTAATGAACGGTCGTTGTTAATAACTACTCTCGATGAATTGGATATACTCCTCGATTGAGTATTTGAGAGGGGATAAGTTATAGATATAACAATGATCGACTAAAATATATCAACAAGTGGAAAGTAGCAATGCCAAGTCCTTTTTATCTTTTGAATTAAATCACATATAACTCGTTCATCTTCGTGTTTAATTTAATTAAATCATTCAACCCAAAACCCCCCTTTATTTACTCCTTTCGTTAAAAAGATAAATTATTCCTTTCCCTGTGGATACGAACTCTACTTCACCTATACTACGTATAAGTGTTAGTATTGAATTTATTTTGAGTGCACTCACGACAAAGTGCACGTCAAGGGTTTTCATTAAAACCCCAGTATATAAGGCATATCCTTTGTCTTCTTCTGTGCGAGACCCTTCTGCGTTGTTTGGCCTAGAGTGAGAGGGGAGAGAGAGGGAGAGAGAGAGAGAGAGCTAGGGTTCTCTGAACCGCTGCTCCTCGTCGCTCCTCCGTGCGAACTCTTTTACTACTATGTTTCAATTCTTCTACTACTCTGTTTCTCCTATGTTACCCTTTTGGCGAGCATGGGTGGTGCTTTGTGTGATCGTTGAGTGTGGTCTGAGCCAGAGAAGTGAAAACCCAACACCGCTAATGTATCAAGCCCCAAAAACAATTCAAGAACCTTAAGAATTGCCTCAATATGTCTAACTCCCTACATTTTGAGTATTCATCACAATTCCACAATAATATAGTGGAAGATTTCAGTTTGAAGATAAAGAAATTCACCGTAGCTATTATTCAATCATGCCCACCATTTAAATATGATTCATGTATTTGTAAGCGCTAGTTGTTTTGTGTTGCTTGGGTCTTAGTGCGGGTGAAATAAGTTTTTAAGATGATGGTGTGCTAATAACTTTTGTTTGAGCGTTGCTTTAGTAACTTTTGAATGAATGAGTGTGTTAATGACGCATGGATAGTCACCACAAAATTAAGTAAGGGTAGTAACTTAAGGTATGGGGGTGACATGTAGAATCTAAAGTGAAATGTAGTGGGGATTGTGTAGTCACTTATAGTGTAATATTTATTTGGAAATTATTTTTGAAATTTTTGTTTGATTGTTGGGTTATTCTATTTTTATTGAATGAGTGCTTGAGTGACAAATTGGCAGTTACCATAGAACTAGGGTAGTCATTGTAGTATGAGTGTAATATGTGAAATCTAATGTGAATTGTAGTTATGACTATGTAGTCACTTATACATGTATTCTTTCACGGGTAGTGAGTTTTAATAACTTTTGGTTGTTTGTTGGGTAGTAACTTTTGAGTTAATGAAAGTTTGAGTGATAAATAGACACTTAAATTACTGTACTAGTGGAGGTAGTAGTAACTAACATACATGTGAGTGTAGTTTGTGAAATGTGAATTGAGTTTTATTCTGGAAATTTACTCATGTATATCGTATTATAGTTAATTAGTTACTTTATGCACGAGTTACTGGTTGTCACTTTAACATTATGTAACTGTTTTGACTTTTGAGCAGGCCTATTGTAAAATGCAGAAGTAAGAGGGGCACACCTCCTTTGTGCAAAACCAGAACATCGGGGAAGCCGAAGAGAAAGAGCAACTCTTCTACTAGGGAAATTGAGACAAGATGGAAGTGCAGGAGGTGCATACAACATGGGCATAACCAGAAACCTTGTAATAATCCGATACCTTTATAGATGGTTGAGAGGCTTGTTTTTATGTTGTTTTTAAGTATTAAGGGGGTTGACAAATAAATAGTGCAGGAGTTGCATGTGATAAATACACATATGACGTCTGAATATGTTCTATAGATTATTTATGTGTTCACTTATTTGCTATAAATTCGTGTACAACCTCAAATGAAATTCTAATTTGGATTCAAACCATTTAGTTTCGCCGTGTTGTAACAAAGACATGAATGTTATACTCATTATATGTGTGTGTGTAGTAGACTCATAATGGGTGGTGATATGGCTTATGAATACATCTATTCTCTAGTCTGTGATGATTCCTGAAACAATTGCAGGGTGATACATATAGTTATAGAACATAGAATGTGATAGAAGTTATGAAAATATTTGTGTTTGAGTGACTTTAATTTGCATCAGTTACTTGTTAAAAGAAAATGTTGTAGTGACTATACATATATGTACTTACTACTTAGTTATTACAAATAAGTACTTTAAATAGTTTAGGGTCATACCTCCAGATTATTAAAGAACTTCCAGTATACTCCGTAAGTTCGTAGTAATTCCACCCGAACCTTGTAGACTATATAGATACTTTTACGTAGTACGTTACTTTGTGTTACACCTTCATTAATCAATTCTCACAATATATTCATTATGCATGTTAGGTGCATATTAACTGTTCACCTTTTATGATGGATAGCTTGATAAAAATTATTCTGAAGTTCAGGATTCAACTCATATAAATGACTCAAGGACTGTTGAATTATATGCTCATAATAAAGTATGGATATATAACTTACTACGTCTTTATAAGTTGCATCTCTCATATTATAAGTGTGGGAGTTAATGTAAAGGTTTGTGTACTGAGACACAAACCTTTGGCTGAAATAGTTACAAGCAAAACAGTATACTTTAGAGTACAATATTTAAATGCATGGAAAAGTTGCTGGAAGAAGGAAATTTATGAGTATTATATTTAGGTGATTGTGTGCGGATGAGAGAATTTGATAGAAAGACGATTTGGGATAACTTGAAACTTATATTGATTGAAACTTTTGGCATGTGTTACAAATGGGTGAGAAGTGCTCTATTTATAGGTCTCATAGGAGTGCTCGCGGGCCCATAACAAAGTATTCAATACAAAATATTCATAAGCATAGTTTGTGGTTTAAAATCAATAATGGAAGCACGAATCATGTCTTCCTTGAGATCACTTCACAAGTGTACTGACCCCTCCGGGGCCCTCAGCATCTTCAGGTTTAAGCTAGGGCTTGCTACCTGCATCTTTGCATGGGTGAAGTGATCTCAAGGAAGACGTGGTTAGTGCTTCCTTTAGTGATTTTAAACCACAAACTATGCTCATGGATATTTTGTATTGAATACTTTGTTTCGGGCCTGCGAGTCACGTTTTGCCATATGTGGCCCATGATTGATTTATGAATATTTCCGCTATTCATTCAATTTAAAGGGTGATGTCGTTATATATGTTTATTTACTAAGTATGGTATGAACTATGTTTATGGACGTCTTGTACACTTGAGTGGATGTGACCCGCAGGTGATATCACTTAATTGCGCGGCGGTTGTACACGCGCCTAAATGCGGTCTGGTCCGTGACACTATTTGATCTGAGTTGGAAGTCATGAGTTGTCTCTAACTATTTTACCCAACTTTATCTTTTATCAAATGTTTTCCTTGTTTTAAAGCTTTAATCAAATTTAAAGTGACTTTACATAATTCTATTTATTTTTTGTCTACTTTGAAAGATTTAAACCACTACACTATATGTTTTGTTTCACATATATTTATAAAGTACAACATTTACATTTTGGCACTTAATATAAATTGCTTTTTCGCGTATAATTGTGTGCATTCACAATTTACATTAATTCTAAATACATACATTATCCGTTCCTTATTGGATTAATTTATTCATTAACATAATTTAACAAAATTAAAACTTTGTGAAATTATTAACTATGATTTCATGTTTTTTGTTCTATGGATATTATTTTATTTATAACTAATTTTAAATAATTTTTTGTCAAAGTGCTCAATTGTTTGTGACATTCGTGATAGGCATGAGTCACAATTTCATGTTTTTTGTTGTATGCATATTATGCTTTTATCTAGTGTGATTCCCCTCCCATTACAATTTTTGGATAGACATGAGTCACTAAATTTGTTTTTTTTTCCAACAATTTGATGATGGATTTCTTTATTTTTCATAACTTTTATTTGAAAGCCTTTTTTTTCATAACTAATGGCTAGAATAAATTCTTTCTCATCCCATACTAAAATAAAATACTACTCCCTCCGTCCCATTGGACTTTGCCAACTTTCCCTTTTTGATTGTCCCAAAAAATGTTGCCACTTTCTTATTAAAACAACTAATTTGTGGTTCTGCACATTTCTCTCTCCTATGCACAAATTTTAACCACACAGTTTTTACTATTCTTATTTCTCACCTACTTTGCATTTGGCAACGTTACGGAGGGAATATCATATAAAATTGCTTCCCAAAAATCCAATGTAACTTCATAATTATATGTGAAACTTTAATATTAATATGGAGTACTACCTCCGTTCTTTTTTATTAGTCCTCTTAGGGTTTGACACGAGTTTTA